AGCTGTGCAAACCTGGGTGACTTACTTAACCTCTTTGAACTTATTTCATTATCTATTGCCAAATGATTTGAGTTGTTGTGGGTTAAAATAGATCTAAGTATTTGGCAATTATGACTGATGCATAGTTAGTGTTCAAAAATTGGTAATCATATTCATTCTGGAAAGCCAAAACAAAGTCATAATCAAGTATTCTATGAAGCACAGAAATAATAAAATTGTTTTCTGCAGTGACATCCACTGTGACTCAGGTTCCAAAGCTTTCCAAAAATAGCTTTCCAAAATTCTTATGTGCCAGGCATAGTGCTAGGCAGTATTGCTGACATATGCATAAGACATATTCCTGTCCTCCAGAGACTCCCAGTCTTGTGGGATAAACAGCCAAGTAAATAATTATCACTCACTGTGACTGTGCTGGGCCTCAGTTCAGCCTTTTCTCTTACCGCCTACTCGTAGGATCCATGTTTAAGCAACAGTCTGGGGCCTCAGAAGGGACAGACTGGACCACTGGCATCCCTGGGCATCATTAAAAAAAAAAAAAAAGATTTATTTATTTATTTTAGGTGGGGAGGGGCAGAGGAAGAGGAAGAGAGAATCCTCAAACAGACTCCCTGCTGAGCGGGGAGGCCCACATGGGACCTTGAATCCCAGGACCCTGGGATCATGACCTAAGCCAAAATCAAGAGTCGGATGCTTAACTGACTGAGCCATCCAGGCGCCCGACTATTTTCTTTTTATAAACTATGAACACCAAGTCAATAGCTCATTCTATACACAGAGCAAACATTTAAGTACTTAATATACAAATATTTAAATGATGCCCAGCTGGGAACCTGGTGTCTTAGGGTCCAAGATTCTGTGAGACTAAGCCCCAAGCTGAGTTGGGCTCTGCGCTGGATGTGGAGCCTGCTCAAGATTCTCTCTCTCCCTCTCCCTCTGCCCCTCCCCTGCCTCTCTCTCTGAAAAAAAAAAGAAAGAAAAGAAAATATAGTCAACCCCAACTCACAGGCTGTTATAAAGTTGGATATCAGGCCCTCAACATGGTGGTAATACTCTAAGAGCTCAAGACCTACCAGCTGCTTCATTCTTGTTCTTGTTAACAGTATGGCTCTCTGTCTCTTCAAAAGGATACTAGAAAGGATCACTAGAATTTACAATTAAGGAAAGGAAGCAACATACCTGTGTATAGCATGCTATCATTTGTGTTAAAGAGTAAACGAAGGGGCGCCTGGGTGGCTCAGTCAGTTAAATGTCTGCCTTCGGCTCAGGTCATGAGCCCAGGGTCCTGGGATGGAGCCCCAAGTTGGGCTCACTGCTCGGTGGGGGGAGTCAGCTCCTCCCTCTGCCCCTCCCCCCTGCTCATGCTCTTTCTCTCCCTTTCTCTCTCAAATAAATAAAATCTTAAAATATAGGGCGCCTGGGTGGCTCAGTTGTTAAGCGTCTGCCTTTGGCTCAGGTCATGATCCCAGGGTCCTGGGATCGAGCCCCGCACTGGGCTCCCTGCTCGGCGGGAAGCCTGCTTCTCCCTTACCCACTCCCTCTGCTTGTGTTCCTTCTCTCACTGTGTCTCTCTCTGTCAAATAAATAAAATCTTTAAAAAAAAAAAAAGGCAATTTTGTAGTCTAGATGGTATCCTAAAATTAAAAAAAAATGA